TCCATCAGAACCAGAAAAAGAACCAGAAGAAACTTCCATCAGAACCAGAACCAGAAGTAACCTCCATCAGAACCAGAACCAGAAGAACCTCCATCAGAACCAGAAGAAACTTCCATCAGAACCTAGAACCAGAAGAAACCTCCATCAGAACCAGAACCAGAAGAAACCTCCATCAGAACCAGAACCAGAAGAAACCTCCATCAGAACCAGAACCAGAAGAAATCTCCATCAGAACCAGAACCAGAAAAATCTCCATCAGAACCATAACCAGAAGAATTCTCCATTAGAACCAGAACTAGAAGAAATCTCCTCCAGAACCAGAAGAAACTTCCATCAGAACCAGAACCAGAAAAAACTCCAGCAGAACCAGAACCAGAAGAAATCTCCACCAGAACCAGAACCAGAAGAAACCTCCATCAGAACCAGATCCAGAAGAAACCTCCATTAGAACCAGAAGAAACTTCCATCAGAACCAGAACCAGAAGAACCTCCATCAGAACCAGAAGAAACCTCCATCAGAACCAGAACCAGAAGAAACCTCCATCAGAACCAGAAGAAGCCCGGCGGTCTTCAGCCCGTACAGGAGGCAGCTGTGGGGCCTTTTGGACGTCCAACTCCGCCCATCCAAGACTGTCGGCCATTTTGATGATGTCATGCGACTATGAGTTTTCTTAGGCGCAAACAAAACTTTACTGCCTATAGCAAATCGGAAAACGAACGATGTCGGTAAGTGAAAAATACATAATTTTATGTTCATGTTGACGATATTACTGTGTTGACCCTGCTGGATGAAATATTTATGATATTTGATGTGACCATTTAGTTTATTGTGTTCATTAGTTTTTTGCATGATAAGGTAGTAGTTTTGCAGAGTACCTTCAGTTTAATGTTAGCCCACCTACCACCCCAAAATCTGTATATATTACATTATTATTATTGTTGTTATTAAATGTAATTGTTGTTATGTTGACTTTTATTTGTGAAAAATAAATGTATTTTTGTTTAAACTTGTGTGGACTTATTGTACAAACCTATTTAACCCTTATACTATGTTGAAATTATTTTAACGGCTACTGTCACCGAAAATAACGTGACTGCAGTTTTTTTATGTTGTATTTCAAACTTTTTATGTTGTATTTCAAACTTTCCAAAAGACGTTCTGAAGTTTGGCCCACACTTCCCTGCAGTGACGTAATCAAAATGGCGGAGTTGGACGTCCAAAAGACGCTGCAGCGATATGTAGTTGGAACAAGCGGCTGGAGGCCTGAACCAGACGGAGTGTGGCGCCCTCTGCTGGCCGATCCCAGAACTGCAGCCTCTCCCGTCCAGGGAGATAAATCCTATTTTTCCAAATAAAAAATAAAGAAACGAGGCTTTACTCTGCCAGCACTGACAGGAGAGTTCACACAGATGTTTTCATGCCCAGATGTAGAAGGTTTGGTGCAGCTAAATGATTATGATGTTCAGTAGAAATACAAATGAGAACGAAGTACAAGTAAAAAACAGGTTTTTGTGTTTGGGGGGGATTTTCAGAAACAGGATAAAGGCTTTATCTTTTAAATCCTTATTATTCACATTTAATCTGACTTCTTTTTGCTTTTTCTAATCAACACAACAGGCTTTGAAACCAAAAGGTTTTAAAAAATACTTCTCATCAACTCCCTGATCTGAGTTATTGGGTTTCCCTTAAGTTTGTTGGTGGTATTATATCATTTATAAATATACAATATATAAATATACATTTAGATGATATAAATATATCATATCTATATAATTAAAATTGAATATGTTATGTCAGAATCTGATGACACAGACAGGAAAGAGGTTTTCTTTATATTTTAATGACTTTATTTAGATTTATTGGTAAAATCTGGCAATTCAAACATAAAAATAAGTGAAAATTAAGAGTCAAACTAAAGGCTGGTGGAGGTTTGCTCTCGTTTCTGTGAGCTATGAGAGAATAAAAACCTCCCGAAAGCGGCTCCGATTCACACGTAACTTTATTGACTCGCTTTTTTAAAAACAGTCGAGTCCTCTGCGCTCCACTTCCTGTCCGGGTCTGAGAGCGAGCGGGGAGCGTGAAACTTTATTTAAACGCAGTGAGAGCGGGAGGGCGTAAACACGGAGGTCTTCAAGATATCTCATAAATACAGAGTTCCAGAAAAAATAGAAATATAAATACAGTCTGTGAGGGGCTCTCAGACCCGGCAGGAGAGCAGAGGAAGAGCTGGAGGACACAGGGCAGAGAAGAAGAAGAAGAAGAAAACATGGCAGCTGGGGGGGGGGGGGGGGGGGGTCACAGCCCCGCGTCGTTGTAGGTGGGTTTGACCGTCTTCAGGATGCTCTGGGCCTTGTCCTCCAGCAGGGGGCGCCACTTCACCTCCCCGGTCAGCAGCAGGTCGTTCCCGTCCAGCGCGTCGATGAACTGCATCTGAAACACAGCGGCCGCGTTAGCCCAGGAAGTAGCCATATCCCACCGGGGAGCAGCCACCAGGAAGTAGCCACATCCCACCAGGGAGCAGCCACCAGGGAGTAGCCATATCCCACCAGGAAGTAACCACCAGGAAGTAGCCATGTCCCACTGTCAAGTAGCCACATGCCACTGGGAAGTAACCACTGGGAAGTAGCTCTATCCTGCCAGGAAGTAGCCACGTCCCACTGGGAAGTAACCAGTAGGAAGTAGCCACGTCCCACTGGGAGGTAGCCACCAGGAAGTAGCTCTATCCCACCAGGGAGCAGCCACATCACACTGGGAAGTAACCCACGTCCCACTGGGAAGTAGCCACATCCCACTGGGAAGTTTCCACCAGGAAGTAGCCACATCCCACTGGGAAGTAACCACTGGGAAGTAGCTCTATCCCGCCAGGAAGAAGCCACATCCTACTGGGAAGTAACCCACGTCCCACTGGGAAGTAGCCACATCCCACCAGGAAGTAGCCACCTCCCACTGGGAAGTAACCACCAGGAAGTAGCTCTATCCTCCCAGGAAGTAGCCACGTCCCACTGGGAAGTAACCAGCAGGAAGTAGCCACGTCCCACTGGGAAGTAGCCACCAGGAAGTAGCTCTATCCCGCTGGGAAGTAGCCACCTCCCACTGGGAAGTAACCACTAGGAAGTAGCTCTATCCCGCCAGGAAGTAGCCACATCCCACTGGGAAGTAACCACCAGGAAGTAGCCATGTCCCACTGGGAAGTAACCACATCCCACCAGGAGGTAGCCACATCACACTGGGAAGTATCCACATCCCGCCAGAAAGTAGCCATGTCCCACTGGGAAGTAACCACCCGGAATTAGCTCTATCCCACCAGGAAGTAGCCACATGCCAATGGGAAGTAACCACATCCCAATGGGAAGTAACCACTGGAAAGGGGGTTTGGAGGTCTCCCTGCTTGTGGGACCCACCTGCTTGCGGACGTATTCCACCATGAGCTCCAGCTGCTGGGGGTCCTCACACTGGCGGTTGAACAGGTTCCTCCACAGAGCCGCCGCCAGCACGCAGTCGTCCGACAGGATTCCCTGCTCACAAACACACAAACATCCCATAAACACAAACACCCCATGAACACAAACATCTCGTCTGCAGCCCCCCGCCTAACCCTCAGACAGCCTCTAACCCGCTCATTCTCACCTCATCGTATCCAAATATGGCGGCGTAGAAGGTCTCAGTCATGGATTTCAGCGCCTCCTTTCTGTGCATGGCGTCGATCTGCATCCCAAACAGAAGCACACGTCACTTTCTGCTTCTCTGGACTCAAATAAAAACTTTATTAAACAACACGGGATCCAACACAAACACCAACACATAAGAATCCAACATCAGAAAAGAGACAAAGAACAGAATAATCCGGAGTAACAGCCACGTAATGCTGCGCTAATTCATATTATTACAGAGTAAATGTTTGAATATTCTTATTAAAAGACAAAATTAGCAATTACGCAGCTAATAGGAGAATTATTTAGCCAAAACCCAGAAAAACCTTATTCAACAAGTAGAGATTCTAATGCGTAGGTAGCCTGTAGTTGGTGTATCCTAGCATGGTATTAGCATTGACTAGCATAGCGATTAGATAACACTAGTTAGCATTTATAAGCGCAGTAATAGAATAGGGTCTAGTTAGCAGGCAGTTAGCATATGCTAATGTGTGGCTAATTTTACTAGTGCAGTAGGTGGGAAGGTAGAAGTTAGTTAGCATGTGCTAGTGTTTGGCTAGCATTTACTAGCACACCAACAAAACAAGCATCAATTAGCAGTTAGTTAACATATTCTAGTGTGGATAACATTTAATAAGGCAGTAAGTGGGTAATGAGCAATTAGTTAGCATATGCTAACATGTGGTTAACATTTAGTAAGGCAGTATTAGGTGGGTAATAAGAAGTTAATTACCATGAACTAACATGTGGTTAGCATTTAATAACAGCAAATGAAGTAAGACAGTTGGCGTATGCTAGCATGTAGTTAGCATTTAATAAGTGGGTACAGAGCAGTTATTGTATGCTTGTGTGTGATTAGCATTTCCTAGCACTGCAACAGAATATGCTCTTATTAGCCTTTAGTTAGCATACTTAGCATTTGCTAGCGTAGTAAGTGGGCAGTTAGGAGGTCCAGACATCCTCCAGCAGGTTGGCTCTCTAAACTTTGTCCAAAACTTTAATCTATGGGGAACATTTCCTTATCTATTTTAGAGATACTTTTTCTTACAGGTTTGTTACTAATAGTAGGATTCTTTTTGTAATCCACAGGAGAGAAAAAAGCAGGAAACCCACAAACTGCCCCTCTGGGGGTTAAAAAGTCCCCTTTGGAAAACCTTTGGCTGTAAAATCTAATGAAACCATTCGTCTGCAGCAGCTCGTTTGGCTCCGGCCGCAGCTTTTCCTCCTCTTCATCACAATTAGCATGAAACCCGAGAGCCGGTCCAATCAGGGCCGGCCTGTGAAAACACAGGAGCCTGGAGAGGTTTCAGATCAGAAACGCTCTCAAACCCGCCGCTCAGTTCTGAGCAGGTTCTCTCAACCTTTTCTGATTCCTCTCACTTCTTTCTCTGTGACTTTTCAATATTTTCTGAACATGCGTTCAGAGGAAAAACAGACTCAGTTTAACCTGAGAGGACAAAATGAGGCTTAGTGAGTGTCTCACTGCTCAGTTTGATGAAGAACCCCCTGAAAACAGGAGCTGATTTTACACTAAAATGAAGGAAAGACCTCAGTTTTTACACCAGAAGATGAAATAATCCCGCAAATTAATTTTGGAATCAAACAAATTACTAAAAGAAATACAAATAAATCAAAATATCTCCAATTTAAACTTTGGATTTATGCTTTCTGCCTCTAGTAGCAGCTCTGATTTCCACTAAATTAGCCCTATTCCAGCAGATGTTACAGACAGAAGCAGAAACATGAGTTCAGGAGCTGAAACGGACTTACTGAGAAGCAGAAACTCAACATTTGATTATCTTATCACCAGAAGTCCTTACCCGATTTAATTATTAGAGCACATATTGAAGCGGGTCCTAACTTGCTACCTGTTATCCCCTGGCTAACAGTTAGCTCCTGGTAACTGTTAGCTCCTGGCTACCTGTTAGCACCTGGCTACCTGTTAGCTCCTGGCTACCTGTTAACACATGGCTAACAGTTAGCACCTGATTAACTGTTAGCTCCTGGTAACTGTTAACTCCTGGCTAACAGTTAACACCTGGCTAACTGTTAACTCCTGGTAACTGTTAGCTCATGGCTAACTGTAAACACCTGGTTAACAGTTAGCACCTGATTAACTGTTAGCTCCTGGTAACTGTTAGCTCCTAGTAACTGTTAGCTCCTAGTAACTGTTTGTTCCTGGCTACCTGTTAACACATGGCTAAAAGTTAACACCTGGCTACCTGTTAGCTCCTGGCTACCTGTTAGCTCCTGGCTACCTGTTAGCTCCTGGCTACCTGTTAGCTCCTGGCTACCTGTTAGCTCCTGGCTACCTGTTAACTCCTGGTAACTGTTAACTCCTGGTAACTGTTAGTTCATGGCTAACTGTAAACACCTGGTTAACAGTTAGCACCTGATTAACTGTTAGCTCCTGGCTACCTGTTAAAACCTGGCTACCTGTTAGCTCCTGGCAACTGTTAGCTCCTGGTAACTGTTAGCTCCTGGCAACTGTAAGCACCCGGTTAACTGTTAGCACCTGGCTAACAGTGAACACTTGGCTAACTGTTAGCTCCTGGTAACTGTTAGCACCTGGTAACTGTTAGCACCTGGTAACTGTTAGCACCTGGTAACTGTTAGCTCCTGGTAACTGTACGCTCCTGGTAACTGTTAGCTCCTGGTAACTGTTAGCTCCTGATTTATTTATTTGAATAGGGACAAAGCACATTAATGAACATCAGTCAAAAACAAATGTAAATATGCCGGATTATAGCTACAAAGCTAATTTTCATCCGTAGTAACTGTTAGCTCCTGGTAACTGTTAGCACCTGGCTAACTGTAAACACCTTGTTAACTGTTAACACATGGCTAACAGTTAACACCTGGCTAACTGTTAGCTCCTGCTACCTGTAAGCTCCTAGTAACTGTTAGTTTGTTCCTGGCAAACAGTTAACACCTGGCTACCTGTTAGCTCCTGGTAACTGTTCGCTCCTGGTTACTGTTAGTTTGTTCCTGGCTAACAGTTAGCACCTGGCTACCTGTTAGCTCCTGGCTAACGGCAGAGGTCAGAGTTGAAGCTGTTACGTCACTGAGTGACAAACTCCAAACAACCCCCCCTTTTCTGTCACGCGGCCTCTCAAAACTTTGCGTGTTTGCCGCTGGTTCTGTTCTGGTGGCAGCCGGAGGTCAGAGAGACGCTCAGGAGGAAACCGAAACGCTGTGGAAAATCCAGCAGCTGTCAAACATCCCCCGAAACGAGGCTTTAATCGAGTTTAAACTGAGTTTCTGCTCCATCAGGACCCGGGAATCGGCTCTCTGGACGCCGGAGGTTTGGCCAGAAAAAGGAAAACATCAGAGAAGCTGAACTCTGACCGTCTTTT